GTTAATTATTTACATAGTTTGCGTTACTAAAGGAACAGATAACATTGTTCACAGGCGGTAAATAGGTACCTATAGGTGAAAAATCCGGACCAATATCTACAACATACAAAATTAACAATCCGAGGAAGTAACTATTGAATTTAAATCATCATATCATATCATTTAAACCTGACCTTACTTTAATACGAAATTTGATATGCTCAAAAGTAGCCAGCTCAAAGAGATTTAAGAGCAACTCCACCCGTTTCCCATTTGTGAAACATAAAATTCCGAAGTCTCTTACATAAAGTACCTTCATGAAACACTTTGTTAATTAGCGGGACCTTCTGCAGTCCAGAAGATATCTGAAGGTCCTGAATACGGTAACCTTAAACTGAATTTGTATTTCGAGTTGAATGCGACTAAGTACTTTTAACACTCTAGCATTTACCTCTGCATGGAGGAAACAGTTACCGTCATTCAAAAAAGGCGGATTCATACACAAAGAATAGAAATCGCTAATCAAACTTAATAACTAAATGAGTTTAAATGTATCTCCAGCGGTGTCTGTAGATACGCCACCTGTACTTGTCGTTTGAAATTTTGAAAGCAGACATCTCAGAATGGACGAAAATACCATAGTGGAACCTCCAAGAGAAAAGCAAAAAACGAACGTTGAACAGCGAATAAATAAGTTCAGAGTTAAGCAACGTCGGAAGATCGATATGAGGGTGATATCTTTATTAAAGAATCCAAATCTTCTGGAGTGTATTTCTAGTGAACTTTCATTTATATATTTTTAAGATGGTTGTCATTAGAAATCCAAGCGGTTATATTAAGCGTAAGGGAAAGGGCCCCCAAATATTTTTGAGGACGGGCCTTTAAAATGAAGTTACGCCACTGGTTCTTCTACAGGGTTCGGCATATGAACGGAAGTTTCGTTAAAATAATTTTATATCGAAAAAAATATTTTTTTTTTTAATTAGTAATACATACTGGGAAATAAAAGAGTAGCCATTTGATATACAATGTTTAAAAACATTTATTTTTTTGAAAATTCATCTGCAATGGCCTCCGTTTGACACGTATGCTATTCATGGAGTCGAGCCTGGAAGTTCTCGACGCAGGTTTTCTGCACTAAACTCTCGCCAGTTTGGTAATAAGCCTTAATTGGTTAACCGCGTTGCTCACCCGTCCAACGCTCCATTGTAGACTAAAGGGCAAGCCACTCGGGTCCCGACAGGTCTGTGACTGTCCTCCCTACCACTTCACCGCCCGCTGCAAGCCCCACCCCAAATCTTCCCGTTTCATTGCCGGACCCTGTACTTCCATACTTCAATTTCTTTCTTCGTCACCAGTTTACTGGAAATTTGACGCAATATCCTGGGGTTATGTTGATAACTGCAGAAAATCTACCCAATAACTTTATCTAGAACTTATCCAGCCGATAATATTTAAACGAGGTTCGAAATACCCGAAGTGACGCTAACTGTCGGTTTACCTGGAAGATATCTTATACTTGACTTTATCCCGAGATGGAAATACCGGCCCTAAAGTGCTTAGTCAAGTCGAGTAACTTATGTTTGTTCACATGCGTCCACTTGAATAAATTACTTAAACTACTAAGGGCCGGTTGGCGGTTGCACAAAGACAGTTTAAACCTAGCTTGAAATTAACCAGTGGATTACGGTCTAGGATTGGTTGAAATTTGACGTTTTGTCAAATTTCCACTAATTATATGTCAATCCATTGCGTTAATTTCAAGATATATAATATTAAAGATGGTAGGATGACTCGCCGCCATTATGTAAGACAGAATGCGGCGCCAGTTAAAATCGCTCCCTAGATGTCGCCACCCATCCCAGTGTACTTCACAAAACTGTCAATTTATTCTAACACGTCATTTAAATTTGAATTAAACCATCAAATATGAGAAAGTGTTTGATTTGAGACCACAATACGCCCTTAACTCGTGATACATCTTTACTTCGAGTTCCTTCAGTATGTAATTGAAGCATTTCGACTTTTTTTTTAGTCAAAATACCTACTTAGTGTAAATGCAATAATTACAATTCTTGTTTTGTAGATTGTCATAACGCGCAGCTTCTTAAAAATATGCGTAACTAGCAAAATTGGTCTCATTAAATTGTTGACGTTGTTTATAGAAAATTTACTTGTAAATATTTGTAAAAAATGTAACAGGCAGTTTCCCTGATAATAATATGGAAAAAGGGTCTATGTTTTAACGCATCTGTATTTTAAATTTCCATGGAAAGTAGGAGAGCGACCACTAAGTAATTGTACTCGGCATGAGACCCAAGGCAAGGAAGCTGTGCAGAAGTGTAGTGTAGTTGTGTTTCCCCACACATCGTTAGCATCGACACCTAATACAATTCCACGTCGTTGCCTACGCAGTGATCTGTCATTCTTCTGAAGTCCGAAGTTGGTCGTTTTGCAGAGGCGTTAAATGGGAAGATGACTAAGGTTAGGATAAGCCACAGTTTCCTACTCCCGTTTTGTAGTTCAGCCTCCAGCACTGCCACACTCCTGGAACAGAAGTTGGTTAAAATTATTGCACTAGTCCCCTTCTAACCAGCATTTAGATCCTGGGAGCTTCCGAGATTAAGTTATAAAATAAAAAGGTAGGTTGAACAAGTCGGGTCCCCTACCTTCCATCTTAACAGTAATAATGTAGACTTTTGCCAGTTCCTTCAATCCCCATCTCAGCAGCCGAGAATCTCGCTAATCAAACGGGCAATAATGATTTTGTGTCAGAGGTTCTTACAGCTCTCGGCATGATTGCTTACACCGTAGATTGTGTAGGTGAGGGTCATTTGATGCTTATCTTAATATAAGAAGGGCGGCTCCTGGTTTGTTCACATATGGTTTACATTGATCAATGACTTGTTGACTTCGCTTGATCCAGTACAAGCTCCGACAGCTAGACGGGGTGAGAAGTCTGTAATGCAGGTATTGCGCTACTATTTACTGTGATAACGAGCATCCTTTTTAGTGGAACCCCTCAATGCTCTGTAACTTTGAACTTTAGCAAAGTGAACAGTGCGATGTGCAAGTTTGCTTGCTTATACATCCGATTAGTACTTGTCTATTTTATTTACCGAAATTGTTTGCAACAATAACTAGGTATAACACACTGTAGATGCCAAACCACACCAAGTCGCTAAGTAAAAAATTTTTGTACATAACATCATAACCTAAAACAATTTAAATGACATTAAGTTGAAGTCATATATATTAATATATGGGTTGAAGTATATATATGGTTGAAGTACACTGATCACCCTGGCGCCATCTATGGATTGAGTTTACCTAGCGCCGGATTTGGCGTCAAATTTTACAGGTATAAGCGCACCTACCAGTCTCTTTAAACTGCGTTTGTGCAACCGGCACTCTACTAAATTACTGATTGCGTCTAAACCAGGCTTTAAAGCAAATTCAAATTCTCGTGCGGTTGCGCAGTTCTGAGGGAGTCACGGTGCAACACTCAGAGCAAGTGCTACGCTTTATTTTATTTCCATATACAGTGAGTTTTTTTTTAAATGCGATCATAGGAGTTTGCATACAATGTAATTTCCCTATGTTCGATTAAAAAAAAAACACATCAATCTATGAGGTGTGCGCGGTTCACATTCCCAAATCGGGCAACTGGTGTGACTATGAACAACAACTCTATAGTTTTTATGATGAAGAGCACTCGGTAAGATTTTTTTAAAGAAGCCATGTGAGGCCATAGCAACTTTAGGATACATTTTTCTTAAACTTACGATAACTTGACCTCACAGGCCACGCACTGACACCACAACTCATTGTGAACCAACCTTCAATTATTTGTAGGTCATGTGCACCTGGTATTCTACTAATTTGATCTATTCAATACATAAATGAAGAAAATAAGAAAATAAATACCGAAAACAATTACAATAAATGTTCGAAGTGTCCTCCTTGACATTCTAAGCAATAACTTAACCGATTTCGTAATTAAATTGGACGGCGGTATTTTTAAAAATGTGACAGCTGTCAATTGTATCTACTACTCATTTGAACTACTCAATAGAGTGATGTGTTTTTTTTTTAAATCGAACAGGGAAATTACATTGCATGCAAACTCCTATGTTCGCATTTAAAAAAAATTCACTGTATATGTTTATTTCTTGATGAGGTGCAACCAGAGACATGGACTACCACTCCATGTCTCTGGGTGCAACATCGAAGGGTCCAAGTGTTGGGTTATGTGTATTGTAATAACCTTCACTGATTACGTATTTACCTAAGTGTCCTAGTTATTCATAATTCGCCTTTGTGGGATGAAATAACCTAAGACCTTTGTTTATATAAAAAATGCTAAGACGCTATGGGAGTCGGGAATGTTTTCCACCGAATATCTATTTTGAACATAGCCTAGTGACATTCCAAGGTGACCGATGTATTAACAAGTTATTTAATTTTTGATTTGTACTGCCATATTGGCTGTGCCACTTTTTCGTTTCTTCAAGAAGTACCTGTTCATGTTTATATTGTAACCATTTCTTGTGTGATAATGTCTGCGATTGTAAAAGTTGAAATCAAACAAGAAGAAGAAATAATTGCTTCTCTGGATGACAAAGTTTTACTTGGCAATGATGGCTCTGTTCCAATCAAGTGTGAAGTCAATGAATGTTCGATTAATGTGGGTTATTCAAACGTTGGTGAAAATAAAATCCAGCAGAAAAATGAACTACTGATTGAACATTCCAAAAATTTATCGTATGGCCAACCACAAATTAAAGACTTTTGTTGCGCTCAGTGTGATTTTGCAAGTAATTATAAATCCAATTTGAGAATTCATTTACAAACGCACAAGGTTACCAAAGATTTCGAATGTGCACAGTGTAATTATGCAACTCATAACAAATTCCTTTTAAAAAATCATCAGTTAAAACACAAGAGTACCAAGGATTTCCAATGTGAACAGTGTGATTATGCAACCCATACCAAATTCAGTTTTAATAATCATCTATTAAGACACAAAACTGTAAAGGATTTCAAATGTGCTCAGTGTGGTTACGCAACCAATTATAAATCACACTTTAGAAGACATACATCAACACATAAAACTATCAAGGATATCAAATGCGCACAGTGTGATTATGCAACCCATGACAAATCCAACCTTAAAAAACATCTGTTAGCACACAGCACTGCGAAGAAAATCAAATGTGTAGAGTGTGATTTTGCCACAAACTTCAAACACACTTTTAAAATGCATCTGTTGACACACAAAAGTGTCAAAGATTTAAAATGTGCACAGTGTAATTATGCAACTCATAACAAATTCTATTTTAAAAATCATCTATTAATACACAAAATTACCAAGGATTTAAAATGTTCACAATGTGATTATTCAACCCATAGCAAATTCTATTTTAAAAATCATCTATTAAGCCACAAGATTACCAAAGATTTAAAATGTACACAGTGTGATTATGCAACCCATAATAAATTCAGTTTTAAAAATCATCTATTAAGACACAAGACTGCTAAGGATTTCGAATGTGCTCAGTGTGATTATGCAACCCATATCAAAGTCAGTTTTAAAAATCATCTGTTAAGACACAAAACTGTCAAAGATTTAAAATGTGCACAATGTGATTATGCAACCAATAATAAATCGCACTTTAAAAGACATATGTTAATACATAAGACTGTCAAGGATATCAAATGTGCACAGTGTGATTATGCAACCCATGACAAATCCAATCTTAAAAAGCATCTGTTAACACACAGCACTGCGAAGAAAATCAAATGTGTACAATGTGATTTTGCCACAAACTTCAAAGACACTTTTAAAACGCATCTGTTGACACACAAAACTGTCAAAGACATAAAATGTGCACAGTGTAATTATGCAACTAATAATAAATCACTCTTTAATAGACATTTCCTCAGACACACGACTGCCAAGGATTGGCAATGTGCACAGTGTGATTATGCAACCCATGACAAATTCATTTTTAAAAAACATCTATTAATACACAAGACTGTCAAGGATTTCAAATGTGAACAGTGTGATTATGCAACCAATTATAAATCTAATCTTAAAACACATCTATTAAGACACAACACTATCAAGGATTTTAACATAAGATAATTAACTGCCTAAATATGCATAAGAAAACCATGGCTTTCCTTGTGTTATTTCATTAAAGTAAATACGCTACATTACATTCGTCATTCTTATTGTTGTTTAATATTGCAATGTTGTAGGTCGATTTCCCAATGATTATGCAGGTACATAATGAGGATAATATATTATTCACCAATTTTTTCCGCTGTTTCATATTTCAACTGCAACCAGCTAAGTATTCGATGAAGTCATCATCTATTTAGGTATTGATTTTTTCATCAACATTGACATTATCGCTAGAGCAGATTTTACTTTTCATTCTCCTGTCTCCGGAGAGAAAAATATGAAAACACAATTTCAGTTTTCACTGAAAAAGGTTATCTACTGCGTTACCACAGAAACAGCACCTAACTATTCATAAAAAGGAAAACAAACTTGCCTACTTGACGCTAATAAATCCCTTAAAAAACTATCATGTAGGTAGGCCATGGATGATAAGTAATAATACTTCTCCACATAAAATAGTCTAAGTACTATAGGTATTATTTAATTCATTTTGTTTGCTAATATTTAACGGTCTTGAATTGTAAAATTTGTTATGCGAGGTATTTTTCAGGGTAATATTGAGATGCCCCAACCTTGGCAACGTCCTGTGAATATGATTGTCGATACGACGCACCCTATACATCATATTAGTTACACATGCTGCCAACCGAAACCTGGTGGGATTACCGAAAAGGGAAAGAGAGCGAAGATGAGACGGATGGAATTTCTCGGAAGATCACATGTGTTTACCATTTCAGACACCTGCCGTCCAGTTTTTTCCTAGAAATGCAGGGAATGGGCGATTTTCGGGTGGTTTTTAGGGGTGTTAGAAGATCAAGTTACCGCGTCGCTTGGGGTAGTCAATAAATACGATTTAACATGTGTACAGAGTCTTTTTCTTGTAACCGGTTTCAGTGTAAAGTATGGCTTATCTTGAAATAAGTATTTTGTTATACCTTAATCATTACTGCGTGCTTTTGTTTTTTTATATCAGGTGAGGTATTTGCTTTATTCAATTAATCCATAAATGTGTTTAACTTGAATGCAGATTGTAACCCTTTACTTATGTACTTACTTACTGAATTCAATCACTTGTACCTCTAATCATTGACTCTAATGTGTAACCTTTGTTGGTTTTGGCAATCATGTTTCATTGTCGTTAGGGCTGCATCTGTATTGTACGTATTTGCATGTGTCCCACTATTTGCGTACCGTGCTTTTTAGTCGCTCTCGATTATTGCATTGCATTTTATTATAATTGTTTATTTGGGCTGTGAGTAATCAAGAGGAAAGTTTATACGGGCCTTGGTGAACCTAACACTAACATTTTCACTCGTTCCGAACCCAACAACTTTGGTCCAGGATTACAGGGTCTCCACTGGTCCTGGGTAATCCTCCCGCCCAGCGAGGTATATTTGACATCTCTTGGTTTTGTCCGATGTATGTGTTGTAATACCTGGGGAATGGCTCGATCCCATTTTGGTTACTCATAGCGTGTTTGTAGTAGTTACCCCGGTTTCGAGAGGACTCAAAAGTGCTGTACATTAGATGTTGTTCATTATAGGGCTACTCCGAATTAGGTTTTCCTGCAGTTTTCCTAATTCGTAAGGAAAATGCCGGAGTAGTATAGAGCCACTTAAGACGCTCTGCAGGGGCACCGTTTTGGTATTAGCTTCAATATAAACGTAATCAGCTATTGTTTTTGGTATTCCTTACCCATAAAACGCCCTCAGTGCCTGCTGAGAACCCAGTTATTACACAACGTAGGTGTCCTACATGACGATCACGATCTTAGTGCACTCGGAGTGGCCCCAGAGTGACAGATTCTCGCGGGAAATGTAAGCGAGAATATTCAAATAGGCAGCCATGTTAATTTGGCATTCCCGCTACTACAGAATATGGTCCAATATTCCAGTGTGACTTGAAGTTGGCGTTAGCCACCATAGTAGGAGGCTAATGGCCGTTTCCACCGACAAATTTAAGCAGAGCTTAGCTTAAGCGTAGCTTAAAATCCATGGCAACGATTATTGAGACAATGGTTGCCATGGATTGTAAGCTATGCTTAAGCTAAGTTCTGCCTAAATTTTTAGGTGCAAACGACCATAAGATCATCACAGCAATCAGCATTTAGGGAGGTATGAGCAAACCATACAAATTCAACCGACAAATGGGAGGGTTAAGAGCGAATACGCTGACTCAAACCTATCAAAATATATACAACAAATAATGATTATTTAAGATTTATAAGGTCATACCTCATACCTTCTAGTCTAGCTGAAATTAATGAGGACCTCATAGCATGCTGTGTCTTCTATTCAAAGACATTAAAATTTTTAACTTCCTTGCTTCCATTCTATTCGTTCAAACGTCCGTCTACTTGACTGTTCAGCCGACGCAACTGTTGACTAAACACCATAACGGTGTTTTAGTATGTAGCAAACGTCAACATATGCCTGAACGATTCTGTTGACACAACATGTATGTCTATGGTTTCACCGGCACCAATCAACGTGCGGTGTCACTTTTTAATTACTTCCAGAAGGATCTACATGGTCACCGTTGTATAGGTTGTAACCACTTCTTGTGTGGTAATGACGACGATTGTAAAAGTGGAAATCAAACAAGAAGAAAAAATAATTAAATCTGTGGATGATAACTATTTACTTAGCAATGACGTCTCCGTAACAATCAAGCGTGAAGTAAATGAAAGTACGATTAATGCGAGTTCTTCTAATGTGATGTGTACTTGGGAAGATGCAAATAAGGTTCAACAGGAAAATGAATTAGTGATTGAACATTTTGAAGATTTGTCATATGGTGGCCGATCGCAAATTTTAACAAATTTTAATTGCGCTCAGTGTGATTATGGAAGTAATTCTAAATCAAATTTGAGAGCACATTTACGAAGACACAAAACTACCAAGGATATCAAATGCTTTCATTGTGACTATGCAACCAATAACAAATCCCATTTTAAGAGACATCTATTAACACATAAGACTGCCAAGGATTTAAAATGTTCACAATGTGATCATGCAACCAATAATAAGTCAAACCTTAAAAGACATTTGTTAACACACAGGACTGCCAAAGATATGAAATGTACACAGTGTGATTATGCAACCCATGTCAAATCCAATCTTAAATTACATGTCTTAACACACAAGACTGTCAGGGATTTTGAATGCGCCCAGTGTGATTATGCAACCAATAACAAATCCAGTTTTAACAAACATTTGATAACACATAAGACTGTCAAGCATATCAAATGTGCACAGTGTGATTATGCTACCCATCACAAATCCAATCTGAAATTACATTTGTTAACACACAAGACTGTCAAGGATTTTGAATGTGCACAGTGTAAATATGCAACTAATAACAAATCCAGTTTTAACAAACATCAGTTAACACACAAGACTACCAAGGATTTAAAATGCGCACAGTGTGATTATGCAACTAATAGGACTTTCAGTTTAAAAATGCACCTGTTAATCCACAAGACTGCAAAGGATTTAAATTTAAAATGTGCACACTGTGATTATGCAACAAATACCAAGCCCAAGCTTAAGAAACATCTTTTAACACACAGGGCTTCCAAGGATTTTAAATGTGCCCAGTGTGATTACGCAACCAACAATAAATCTCATTTTAAATCACATATGTTAACACACAAGACTGTCAAGGATTTTAAATGTGCTCAATGTGATTTTGCAAGTAATTATAGATCCAGTTTGAGAGCGCATTTACAAATACACAAGACCACCAACGATATGCATTCATTGTGTATGCAACTTAAGAAATTCCGTTGAAAAAGACATCTGTTATCACACAAGAGTATTAGTAATTTATGTGGGCAGTGAGGTTATGCAACCAATAATAAAACAATTTAAAGCATTGTGAGACACAAGGTTTTACGGATTTTGAATACCTATGCCCTGTGTAATTATGCAACTCATAGTGAAGTTCATGTTTTATAACATCCAGTCTGATTCCCTACGCCACAAATTACAAGAACCACTTTAAAGTAGGTACATCTATAATTGTGAGACACAATTTCAAGGGGTTTTTAAATGGACTCATTAGTCCATACAGTAAATGGACTATATTAATACGGCAGGGCTTAGGCAAATGGATGCATTGCATGCTAGATATTTTAATCTTGTTTTCCTTGTGATGTAATGTAAGAATTAAATAATAGCAGAATGATCTTGTACAAAAATCAACACAATGAAAAAATTTCTACTGAAAACATGACATGACAAACAACTCTTATAATGCTTGCTTTGGGGAGAATACCCTTCACAGAACACTGATGCCGATTTACAATCATATGGTTTAATACGAAAAACATAGAAATGTAAAACTGCATCAGGTGATCTGGGACTGACATTCTCGCCTGGCGAGCAATATACACACGGTTTGTTTTATTAAAAGCTGATTATACATCCCAACAGTCCTGCAAAAATATCAGCTGATAATGGCATCTCATATTTGTTGAAATATAAATATATGCAGGATTTGAAACAAACTTCTGTGCACATGAAATAGTTTCATCTACTTGTAAAAATGTCATCAAGAAAACCTTTCAAAAATATAGCTTCTTTAATTGCTTGACAAATATAGCTACATAAGTATTCTGCTTCAATACGTACTGGATAAACTTACTGGTACTTTATTTATTTGATTCCCATGAAATTGCCTCTTCTGACATTCCTGACAACAAAAACAAATAACTAGGATAAGATTTTCCATCAATTATTTCTCCAATCAGCATCACAAAATCGTCTGATTTCCAAACCACCCTTTTTGTATTAAATTCCCTGATAAAATACTTCCAAATTCTTGTAGCTTGTTGAACATGAATATTTGTGTAGCAAGGATTAAACTGGCTTTAATCCCATGGTACATCTATTCTTTGATGCGATTCGTCGATTAGTTTCGATGGTGCAGTGTGTGGGTGTGGTGCAGAGACTTGTTATAACTAGACCGCGCGTAACGTAGATTTTTCTATGAACGCCTGTTGTCAAGATAGGATAGGCAACCAACTGTTCATTGCGGGGCAGACGTACTTTCTGTAGCTTGCTTCAGTTATCCTAAATTTTAGTAGCAAAAAAAGATAACATATAGCTGTTAACTGTTTTAATCGAATTTATTGGTATTTTATTTGAACTAAATTGGTATATAACTGCCTTACTCTAGTCCTAATTTGATTTATATGTGTATTTTGGTGGTGAACACGTATGGGAAAATATACTCTTAAAACTAAAGATGTAAGTAGTAAGATATGATAATTTAGCGGATTTTGATTCAATATAATGCCTATCCAAAAACCCAAATGGGCTGTAACTGTTATTTATTTTTCTTAGACTGCTGATAACCATTTTGTTTACAACGCGGTGTGGTGTGGATTGAATGAAAAACCTGAACACATTTTCAGCAATTTGGTAAATTTTTAATGCATCGCTTGAGACGTGCAACAATCCTCCACGATTTTTTCTAGTTAAAAGCTTTGAATGACTCTCTGATGCGAATATCGCATCTGCACATATGGAACATTTAACAGACTTAAGCTATTTTTCTTGTAACAAAACCTGAAATATACTTAGTACCAGTAAGTACTTAGTTACGTCTATACCTAATAGGCAAATAGGTATTGCCGTTATCTTGCTGGTAAAGGATGTCGAACAATAGTTTTACGTTATTTTAAGTGAATGGGAAAGTCGAAAACGCTCGGTATTGCATTATTGTTTAACACCTTCGTAGGTACCTTTCTAAAATCGGCTACATGGTTTATTCTCAACAGAAATTTATCTGTTCACTAATTCGAGCTAATCACGAGAAAGATTAATGAACGGAACATCTAAAATAACAGCTTATTT